TGTTAACCAAGAATTAAATTGGTGTTGCCTAAGTCTAAGTAAGATGCATTAAGAGTAGCTCCTTGCTCACCTGCCCTGTAAGAAGACCTGACGAGGGGTCCACTTGCTGTATAGGCAAACCCCATCTCACCCCCAACATCCTCCCAGTGTTTGAACTTGGCAGGAGTCACATATTCCTGGACCTGATTTACGGTATACAAATACATCAGAACTTTCAGAACAACACTTGAGAACCAAGATTAATTGAGGTATTCAAAAACTCGTATTTCCCCACAACTATCGTAGACTGGAACTCGTTGCCACCAAGCACAGTTGGGGCATCATCACTAGAAAGCTTTAAACAAGTCCTGCAATCAAATGTGCAAAGATGAGTGTAACAAGCCGTTCGGTGTGATATAGCTAGCTGCCGCCGCGCCGCGTGCCTGCGAAGCTGGTGTGTTACGCCGAAGGGCAGTTATACCAGCTATACCGATACAGATACAGAAGACACATGGAGAAATATCAACTGTAAAATCATGTTAGCCACACAAGTCTACATCACAGCAACAAAACGTATTTAACAGACTGTTCCCTTTTTTACTTTCTTTTCTTCTGGGATGGGAGTTAGAACTCTTGTTCAAACTAGGTATCTGTTACTTTCTATAATGTACAAGTGGTAGTGAGAACATAAGTTGTGTACAACTTGAGTCCGCCTTCACTTTGGCTTTGTCTTCTTATTTGAATGAATTGATGTAAATAGATATTATATATATAAATGTCCCTGCTACGGCACGGAAAAGTCGTCAAAGATTCGTTTCTAGGAAAGTAAACACGAGTTGGACCAACCTTGAGGTGTCTCTTGGTGGGCTGCATGTACTGGCCGAGGGTGAGACAATCCACCCCTACACTTCGTAGATCTAGACAGGAGGGATAGAATGGGGTAGACTTATACAGCTACTTATAAAAAAATGTACAGCGCTGTATACGCATACATTTGCCTGTTTAGTCAACTTTGGGCACGATTTCTTACTAATACTTAAATAGCTGGGCTTAGCGTAACAGCAGCATTCGAGAGACTATCACACATTTAGGAAGGTTCACAAAACATTGAAGACCCAAGCCTATCTTGAGATACTGAGATTTGGGCACTTTTTTGTTGAAAGACGATTGACCTTCCCCATCAACACACAGTGCGCAATTAACTGGGATTGCCGAAAGGGTCTTCCCATTTTTTTTACGGATTCATTCACTATAATGTTTGCCCTGTATTCAGGCTTCAACTTATGACAAATATGACACAACAAAGTGGATTCCAGCATAACAATTTATTATGTTTACCGAAGGAAAACATATTGTTTTTGCTTCTTCCTCTTCTTCTTCTTCTTCTCCAAACAGTGACCTCTGACCTGACCAATGACTTGATTTGTTGACGTCTGTCACCATGGTAACTGGTGTTGCATTACATAATGTTGCAATTTCACAGTCTGCTCTGCTCCTGTCACCATATACTAGTAGTACATTGTATGTGAATGTGCTTGAGTAAAAATTAACAGGGCAGACCATGTCCGAAGGTAAACATTACATATTTGCTTTGCAAATGTTACTTCTCTAGTTCTTTGATGAATCATTATACCCGCTTCTGCAGTAGAGAGATCCTTAAACTCTACATCAAACTGTAGGTCAAACTCACCTTCCATGGCTGTCCTAACCTCCTGGTCAGACTCCCCCAGTCCCAGCATGATGGAGGACTTAGTCACCATGTCAGGTACAGTCTTCTTCACATGGGACAGAACCTGTAGGGACTGATCGTACTTCGCTCGAGGGTCCCTCACAAACCTGGGATCAAGTGTGCAGTGGGAGAAATACTTTTTTTTCAGTGTTCAGAGTTTTCAAGTATTTTGTTTTGAAATACTCTACATGCAAAAACACACTCTAAAGTCTGGATCTAAACCCATGGCATATACAAAATTGCATGTAACAGCAAACATTTATATGAGATTAGAAAAATACATGCAAAACTACTTGTATATTATAGAGTCAGTAGCTATAGTAAACACAAGAGCTCTTAAACACCATTGATTTTTTCAGTCTGCAAAATTGCAGGTTGCTTAATTTTTCTTCTGCAATATTGAAAATGTCGGATGGGTATTTCTGACACTGGGTGTGTCATGTACATATCTTAGCACTGCAACATTGTAACAATCATGTTATAGGCAAGTTTCAGTTTTCCCCAATACATTATAACAGACATATATACCAGTAGCACTTCATTATATAATGGGCATATTCAAGCACTTCATCATATAATAATAATGGGCATATTTCATTTTTCCTTGCAAGTTTTGGACAAGTTTTAAAAAATCAATGGTCAATTCTGCTTGCCGAACCAAC